ATCAGCAAGATTTCAGGGTTGGCCCTCCCTACTAGACAAAGAACTTGAGCTCCCACTTCTGTTTCTGCCAAAAACTCCAAAGCACAAATCAGATCAGCCCATAGGCAAGGCACTGGTTGAAAGGTATAGCAGGTGCAAGGAAAGTATGGTTGCATGGCTAAAGTGCTAGCTGAGGTCATTTGCCCCCTGCATTTTCCTTTTTAAGAGTGATGGTGGAGCAGCTCTTAGTGGGGCAAGTGGCTAGAGTTGGCCCTGTGAGGTTTGTTCACACTGGGCAGCAGTACAGTGGTACCTTGGCTCCCAAACTTAATCCGTTCCAGAAGTCCGTTCCAAAACCAAAGTGTTCTAAAACCAAGGAGCCCTTTCCCACAGAAAGTAATGCGAAATGGATCAATCCGTCCCAACAACCCCTAAAACAGCAATTTAACATGAATTTTACTATCTAATGGGACCATTGATCCATAAAATGAAAGCAATAATCAATGTACTGTACTATAAACTAAATAAGACAGCATTGTAGATGATAGAAATTCAAATTAATTCCCCCCCCTTAAGTACACGGATGATAAAAAGGGATACGGGTGGCACTGTGGGTTAAACCACAGAGCCTAGGACTTGCCAATCAGATGGTCCGAGGTTCGAATCCCCGCGATGGGGTGAGCTCCTGTTGCTCGGTCCCTGCTCCTGCCAACCTAGCAGTTCGAAAGCACGTCAAAGTGCAAGTAGATAAATAGGTACCGCTCCGGCGGGAAGGTAAATGGTGCTTCCGTGCACTGCTCTGGTTCGCCAGAAGTGGCTTAGTCATGCTGGCCACATGACCTGGAAGCTGTACGCCGGCTCCCTCGGCCAATAAAGCGAGATGAGTGCCGCAACCCCAGAGTCAGTCACGACTGGACTTAATGGTCAGGGGTCCCTTTACCTTTACACTGATGATAGTTATTGTTTGGATGGAAAAGCTTTTATCCATTTCTGCAGTCACACAATCAATCAATTAGTAGCTGAACTGGGTTCCACACAGTCACAAAAACGGATTCACAAGCCACAGTCACAAGTCAGTCCCATAAAATGAAGAACAAGTCACAGTAAAAAAACCGAATACCAGTTGCTGGAAACCATGAGAGGGAAAAGGGCTCTTGTGCTCATGTTCTGCTCGCTGGTTCCTCAAAGACATTTGGTTGGCCACTGTAAGAACAGGATGCTGGTCTAGATGGACCATTGGCTAGATCCAGCAGACTATTCTTTTGTTCTTTTGACAGTAGTTGGCTTGCCTAGCAGTTCCCTGAAGAACAGGATAAACTGCCACTTGGCAGATAGTCTTCTGTATAGAACCATAGTGGTTTAACATCAGAAGAAGCTAGTATGCACCACTAGATTTTGGGATAGATTTGAAAATGTATCAGTTGAAATGTTTTGTTTTTGAAATATACTCAGAGTCGAGAGTGGATTTCATGCTCTTTATTCAGCTCATAGTGGTGAGGAGGAATGGAAATTCCCACAGAATGCCTGCTTTATATACATTATTTACACAATGGGCCCCACGTGATTGGCTAATTCCGGGATTCTCCTGTAGACATTTGTTTCAGCAAGATGACAAATTTCAGGGAAACAAATTTCCTCTTTGCTTATTGCTTACTATGTGAGCAAAAATTCTACTAATAATAAAGCCACAATTGAAAGAACATACCGACAACAGTGGGAACAATATATGTGTTTATACCTTTACCAGGAATATGCATGAACTAGAGCTCATCAAAGGAATGAGCTCAAGGAAATGTTCCTGCCTGTGACCAGGTGGTCCAAGTCTATCAAAAATAATAGTGAAGCAATTCCCATTAACAAGGGAAATGACTGAAGGTAATAAAACATAGGACCACAATATGTTGGAACCACACACATACACACACAGTTTAGCAGAAAATTACTACTATTAAGTATACAGAGTGTTAGGATGATCTAATAAAATAGACAGGGTCTTTAATTCTGTACAGAGTATAACATAACCTCTCATGTATTCTTTCCAATATGCTTTTTATATTTTCTTGAGCTCTGCAAGTATTCCTGTCGTACTTACCACACAAAGTTTTATGATTAGTTCTGCTTGTACTGCCCTCTGTAGATAACCTTCTTTACAACCATTTTGTATGTAAAGCAGTAATATCTCAACTACCACCAGCCAAGCATGTAGAACAGGCAGTGGCCCACTGCATTCAACAAATGTATGTGTACCTGGGTACACAAATAATCGAGTGTATGGTTGTATGGCTAAAAAGGGACATGGGTGGTGCTGTGGGTTAAACCACAGAGCCTAGGACTTGCCGATCAGAAGGTTGGCGGTTTGAATCTCCGCGACAGGGTGAGCTCCTGTTGCTCGGTCCCTGCTCCTGCCAACCTAGCAGTTTGAAAGCACGTCAAAGTGCAAGTAGATAAATAGGTACCACTCCGGTGGGAAGGTAAATGGCATTTCCGTGTGCTGCTCTGGTTCGCCAGAAGCAGCTTAGTCATGCTGGCCACATGACCCGGAAGCTGTACGCCGGCTCCCTCGGCCAATAAAGCGAGATGAGCGCCGCAACCCCAGAGTCGGCCACGACTGGACCTAATGGTCAGGGGTCCCTTTATCTTTATACTTGTATGGTTAGTTGTTTCTCCCATGCAATGTTCAATGAGTGTATAGTTTGTGTACTTGTGTATTCAGTAGTTGAGTTTTGATGAATCTTACCATCCTCCGTTGGAAACTGAAATAGCTTTGCTGTTACCAATCCACTAACCACATACTGAAAGATCAGTACTTTCAATGCCGTTGAAATATTATTATTATTATTATTATTATTATTAATAATAATAATAATAATTTATACCCCACCCATCTGGCTGGGTATCCCCAGCCATTCTGGGCAGCTCCCAATAGAATATTAAAAACACGATAAAACATCAAACATTAAAAACTTCCCTAAACAGGGTTGCCTTCAGATGTCTTCTAAAAATTAGATAGTTGTTTATTTCCTTGACATCTGATGGGAGGGCGTTCCACAGGGTGGGTGCCACTGTTGAGAAGGCCCTCTGCCTGGTTTCCTGTAACCTCACTTCTCACAGTGAGGGAACTGCCAGAAGGCCATCCGTGCTGGATCTCAGTGTCTGGGCTGGATGATGGGGGTGGGGACGCTCCTTCAGATATACTGGACCGAGGCCGTTTAGGGTTTTAAAGGTCAGCACCAACACTTTGGATTTTTTCAGAAAGAATAGGAAGGGTTCCACCAGTACCCTAAATGAGATTGGACACTCTGTGCCACCTTTCCCGGGTGATTGAGGGTCCCCAGGGCTGCGTGATGTCAATGTGCTTTGTGCGTCTGCCCCATGCCGTGCGTGCATTATGACGTATGTGTGGACTCCCTGTGGTGTGTGCTTGTGCAGACATTTGGGAGTGTGGCCCTCTCATTTGTAATTTTTTTGGGCCCCCACTTCCCCCCATACTTAGCGCTTGTGCATTCAGGTGAATGAATCTATTAAATAATGTCCACTCTTTAGTACAATTGGACTGGCAAACTAGCTGCATTTGAAAATTATAGCCGTTAATGTTGCTAATGAATCTGATTTCCTGCCGGAAAGTTCTGCAGGGCAGAGAGAGAAATAAGAACCATCTCAAGAAGAATGCCAGAAGTGTATTTTGTTACCTCAGTTCCAGATAAATCTTTTGGACAAGATACAAATATTTGAATTTACACTTCTTTGGTTAGCCATTGAAGGATAATTTCATTAGCAATAATTAAGCATGGTTCAAATTTGGAAGCTGATGTATGTTTACATATCTCAGCACTAGGGATGGGGGATAAATTCAATTTAGTATGCATTTAAAGTCAAATCTGCCAAAGTTGTCCTTTCCTAAACAATATATGAAATTCACACTTATCCGAATTTTGCAATGCAGCTCTTCAATCAAAGCATATTCACAAAAACCCTATATTATGGGAAAGTGTGAATAAAAATGAAGATTTTAGTGAAAATAAAATACAAAAAAGCATTATATTGAGGAATTCACTTTTAAAAATGCACATGTAATGTGTCCAGAAGGAGAAATTCTCACAAAAATAATGCTGATGAATTTTTCACGAGGATTTGTGCTTTTTGAAAAATAAAACGAAAATGAAAATTCCTTCAAAATGTGGAAAATTGAATTTAAGATTGGAAAAATGAGGAACCCAGAGAACCAGAATTGACAGATACTTCCATCCCTACTGAGTGCTGTTTCTCTCCCTCCTGTTTTCTCTGCCTGTCTCTTATGAAATGATGCTTAAAACAAGGACCATTATTCCTTGTATTATTTCCTCCCCACACACACAATAGGAACTATTTCCTCAGCTGGGTCTTATTTCTTGGCAGGTGAATACATATTCATCAGTTGAACATGATTGTATTCCATCCTTCTTTGTAATGTTATGAAACACATCATTATAGGTTTCTTTTTTTTAATAAAAAAAATCATAACTGCATTAGATCAACTCTCACTTGTGTCCGAAAACTGCTTTCAAGTCAAACGAGAGACAAGATTTCTTCCCCTGAGCTGCACATGCGCAAATTGAGAATTTTATTATTCTCCATTCTCTTATTTCGGCCTACGCCTCTGGATAGAATGTCACACTTGGTTTTTCTATTAACATATTCTGCAAGAAGATCCGTTTTTCTTGATACAATACTGCCGTCCAAGTCTATCTACCGGTTGTTTTAAGAGACTTGGCTCAGTTTGAATGGAAACTCCACCCTTAGTCTACCTCCTGATTGATTGAAATGGAAAAAGGCTAGTCAGTGGAAAATCATGAAACAATCTGGGATGTCTATAAATTACATCACATTACTAAAAGCTCTCACTGTGGGTGGGAGTCAAATATATTTTAATCAGAATAGACCCACTGGAATTAATGAACCCAACTAAGTTCGGTCCATGATGTCAGGTGATTGGGAAGAATTGGGAGCACACTTACGACTATGTTTCTGCATCCTCCTTTTCAGCCATGGCTCAATCGGCACAGCATGAGACTTTTAATCTCAGTGTCATGAGTTTGAGCCCCATGCCTCAACTTTCAGATTTGAAAATAAGGGATCAGCAGCCTCGAAAATAAGGGATCAGCAGCCAAAATAAGGCATCGGCAGCTTCACTTGTCCCAGGCACTCCTGTCTTCCACTGCCTCCTGCAGTTTGGCCAAACTCATGCTTTGAGAACACTGTCCAACCATCTTGTCCTCATGGTTCAGTGTTACTAGTGAGCAAAGTTACCTAGTCAGGATTTGAATCTTTTGTGGTTAAGCTTCTATTTAGCTGCCCATTAATACTGACAAACTGTATCTGACCTCACCACATCCTGGGGTAAAAAAATTCCCCAAGTTAATTACACATTGTGTGAAGGTAGGTGTGTGAAGCTACAACACTCCTACTATCAGCTTAAGTGACACATTCTCTCTCTCTCTCTCTCTCTCTCTCTCTCTCTCACACACACACACACACACACAGAGTAGAGCCCCTCCGAGCCAAAGGCCCAAAGGCAGAAAGCCCAGCCAGCAGCCAAACGAAGCCTCAAGCGGTGGATCCGACAGCGCAGCAACCCGGCAAAGGGGATGCAGCAAGGAAAACCACCGTCACCTCTCCGCTGGGAAGCGCTGAGCATAGGTGAGTCCTCAGGCAATGCGGCCGATTTGATCGGCACAAGGCATGCAAGCTCCACCCCCCAGTCGTTCTCAGACTCCTTACTGGGCAGCTGAGCAACACAGTTGAGGAACCTCCCTGGCTGGCAGGGAGCCGGGAGGGAGAGGAGCTGCTTCCTTTGAAATCCAGGAAATATACGGGATATCAACAATCCAGGATAGCAGTGGGAAACGGCGCTGGAATAAGGGAGTTTCCCGCCAAATAAGGGAAGGTAGACAGCTATGGCCCCATGTTGGGCAGGAGATTCTACTAGATGAACCTTCGGGTCCTTTCCAGCTCTACAATTCTATGATCCTATGTTTCCCAAACTTTCCCAGCTTAAAGTTTTGCATGCCTAATATCATATAGCATCAGGTGCTGCAAAGGTGGATATGATTAGCCCAAAACGCTCTGGTGGGCCAACCTGAGAGGCCTGGGGGGGGGGTGCAAGGCAGAGGTTCCCCACCATTGGCTTGTTGAGATTTCTTTCCCCCCCCCAAATTCTTTTATTGATTTTTGACATTTATCACAGACATAACATATAAGATACACAAAAGAAAACACATAACAATACTAGATAAAAATAAAACAAAAATAAAAGACATTACTTCTAAAACCCAATTTTGCTTTCATTGTTAACTAACTTCCTCAAATCCCCCCTAACTGAATTTCATTGAATCGCTTTGTAACAGTTCTCCAAAATCATATTTCTAATAAAATTAACTCCTTCAATTTACTATCCTCTTCTCTTTTCTTAATAATCTAGTCTATGTTCTTTTACAGTTCATTCTTATTCTAATCCTAGGCCTGCTTGGCACTTTCAAGTAACTTCTAGCTATCTTATATTACAATATTTGGCTAAGTATTATTTGAATTTCTTCCAATCTTCTTGATACTCCTCTTCCTTCTGGTCGCGGATTCTTCCAGTCAGGTTGGCCAGCTCCAAAAAGTCCAACATCTTCATCTGCCATTCTTCTATTGTTGGTATTTCTTGAGATTTCCAATTTTTAGCTAGTAGCAGTCTTGCCGCTGTAGTGGGATAGAAAAACAATCTAACATCTTTTTTGGGCAATTCCAGTCCTGTTATTCCAAGTAAAAAGGCTTCTGGTTTCTTAATAAATGTATTTTTCAACATTTTTTTTCAACTCATTATAAATCTTTTCCCAGAAGTCCTTCACCTTGGGACACATCCACCACATATGATAGAAGGTACCTTCTTTTTGGCTTGTTGAGATTTCAGCTAGCTGGGCTGGGCTATCTGAAAGCCAATGCCAGTAGTGTTCAGCAGTTCATGAAGTGTGATGGGATAGCAAAACAGCTTTGATAATAATATATTGTTAAGAAATGCTGAAATCCAACTTTCCGCCGACACAACCACTCTTGAACTTTATATGGAACAGCAGTATTCCTATTCTGAAACTCTATGACAGGGGTCAGCAACCTTTTCCAGCTGTGGGCTGGTCCACCGTCCCCCAGACCATGTGATGGGCCGGACTATATTTTGGAAAAAAGAAGAAGAATGAATGCCTATGCCCCACAAATAACCCAGAGATGCATTTTCAATAAAAGGACACATTCTACTCATGTAAAAACACCAGGCAAGCCCCACAAATAACCTAGAGGTGCATTTTCAATAAAAGGACACATTCTACTTATGTAAGACATGCTGATTCTCGGATCGCCTGCGGGCCGGATTGAGAAGGGCTGCATCCGGCCCCCGGGCCTTAGGTTGCCTACCCCTGCTCTATGACTTCTTGTCTGAGAGAAAGAGTAGTGCTTCTCATTATGGGATAACGGTCTCTTAAGAACTACAATTCCCAGAGGTTCCCAGTTCCTGCTAGCGTATTCCGTGCTCTTGCTGAAGTCAACAGGACAGCCAATTGGCTACAGGAGACAGAGCAAGCACAAGGAAGACATCGATGCCAGTAAGGGTGGAAGCCATTTCTGCCGCCATATTTACAGGTCCCAGAAGATAGGTGAGTAAATAAGCTATCCTGAGTTTACAAGTTTATAAGCCTATCAGAGATTTAGGTCAGTGGGATTTTGTGATAAAACTCATTTCAGAATTCTGCCTGCCCCTCTCCCCCCTCAATGCTGCAAAGCTCTGCTGATTGCAGATGCTTAGAATCACTATCCGCTTCAGAATAATCCAGGTCCTGTTTCAGAAAACCATGGTCTAATTTAAAGAGTTTTCCACCCCTCAGCCCAACATCAGTATTGGTAAATTAGACGACGGCAAAACATTTTCAGGAAGAGTGGATTGAGTGCCAAGTAAATTAGCTACCTTCTGTTGGCTTATGGAAAAGAAACCCTTTTATTCCATTTTTTTGGGGGGGGGCAGGCCATGGGGGAAAAATCCCAATGCTAATTCGTTGTTGTTTAGTTGTTTAGTCGTGTCCGACTCTTCGTGACCCCATGGATCAGAGCATGCCAGGCCCTCCTGTCTTCCACTGCCTCCCGCAATTTGGTCAAACTCATGCTGGTAGCTTCGAGAACACTATCCAACCATCTCATCCTCTGTTTTCCCCTTCTCCTTGTGCCCTCCATCTTTCCCAACATCAGGGTCTTTTCCAGGGAGTCTTCTCTTCTCATGAGGTGGCCAAAGTATTGGAGCCTCAGCTTCAGGACCTGTCCTTCCAGTGAGCACTCAGGGCTGATTTCCTTAAGAATGGATCGGTTTGATCTTCTTGCAGTCCATGGGACTCTCAAGAGTCTCCTCCAGCACCAAAATTCAAAAGCATCAATTCTTTGGCAATCAGCCTTCTTTATGGTTTGTGTTTTACACATTTCTCACAAATTGACTTACCTTTTAACTAGCTGAAAATGAAAGTATTAATTATTTTAAGAAGTTAATTTTAAAGGCTGCTTTCAACTTTAACAAATTATTTCCCCCCCAGTGACTGCTGAGACCCCGTCTAAATAACCTTGCCATAGCATGCACCACCAGGTCTCACGTTTAAGGAAATGGGGGACATAAGCTTTCATGCATGCAAACGCCATTGCCTGTTGTTTATTCATATTCACTTTATGCAAAGTGTTCTGAAATTGTCTGGACCTATTTGAATGCGAAGCTATTTTGTGTGCATCTATTTTTCTTAATAAGTGATGAGAATTGGTACAAATCCTATTGGGATGCGAGCAATAAATTGCATTCCAACAGCTTTTCTATTAAGAGTTAGATTGTCTGACATCGGCTTGAAAGAGATGTAATATTTCTCCACGTCAGATTTTCTCCTTGTTTGTGGAGTTTTCGTGCCACTGTCAATAGAACTGAGGACCTTGGCATTTCATTTTGCTCTGCTAAAAGGAAGTAAACAGTGTCAGGGACGAATTGAAATGACCCATCTACATTATTGCATCGAGCTTCTGAATGAGCAGCTGAGAACAAAAGCTGGATCAGTTGAGGGTTACAGAGGCTCTGCATGTTGTTTTCAGCCGTGAATATTCGTTTAGGAAAAGGAGAAGAGGGAGAAAGACAAACACACTATTTACAAATGCAAAAATAAAAATAAAAATGCTCCCACTGTTCCAGCAAAGAGATCAAAAAGTCATTTTCTTGTTCCATTAGCAACAATAATAATTTCTATTTAACAATTATATAAGGCATTTGACTGTTAGAGGCACTGCACAATAATTGTTTTCAGAACCTGTTCCCATGGTGAGTCTCTTTTCCTCCCATCCTCACATGAATTGGGGCTCTCATGCCATGGCTTTCTTCATCCATGATCCATCCTTTGTGCTCAATTACCGCATTTTTCGCTCCATAAGGCACACCAGACCATAAGGCACACCTAGTTTTTAGAGGGGGAAATCAAGAAAAAAAATCTTATTTTCCCCCTCAGCCCCAAAGAGCAGCGGACAGGCTGCGCGCAGACCTTCTGGGGCTGCTGGGGGAAGCACGCTCCTGTCTTGGCTTCTGCCATAGCTTCTCCCGGCCGGAGGGGCTGCGTGCGGATATGGCAATACCCCCACCTCCCGCACTTTAAGGGGTGCGCGGCTCCTGTGGGCTTTTCTACAAGGAGGGAGAAGGGACTGACTGGCCCGCAAGAGCCGCGCAGAGCTTGTGTGCGGCTCTTGGGGTTTTTTCCTGCCTGCCTCCCGCCTGCACTCGCTCCATAAGACGCACACACACTTCCCCTTACTTTTTAGGAGGGAAAAAGTGCGTCTTATGGAGCGAAAAATGCGGTAAATTTTAAATGAGCTGCTAACCATAGATATAGATATGATAGATATAGATATATAGATATATAGATATATAATGCTATTTCAAGTGATGTTGAAGTGCTTTGTGCTGTTCAGTAACACAGGATTATTATTATTATTATTAATTGAATTTATATACCCCCCACCCCTAGTTCGGATAGTCACTCCAGAAGGATACCATGGTTGATGGTATCAAAA